TATTTGGATAAAGAAACCCGGAGTGGTAAATATCCAAGATAATTTTCTAGGAATAATAAATCTGCACACATTTTTGAAAGAAGACTTGATTATAATCGAGGACATTTCAATTTTTTTTTCTCCACGGTTTACGAGCCGTGAGAGTACAAAACACTAAGGCAAAAATAGGCGTTTAAAGCACCCTAGATTTCTAAATTTTTGTCCTTTCTCGCGATTTACGAGTCGTAAACTTTTGAAATACCAAGGGAAAAATGAGCTTGTAAAGCGCATTGAATCTCCTTGAATTTCTTTCTTAAGAAATTTAGTTAGAATCGAACCGAGAAAAACTGATGGGATTAGAAAACACCAACATCATAGCAATTATAAGACAAACACCAAGCAGCTTACCTTAGGTAAGGCATACTAAGGGTGCTAACACCTTCCCTTTACGCAACCAGTCCCTTTCCTTAGAATCTCTGAAAGACTAGTTAGGTTTCCTAGTGACCATAATACTAGGTGGCGACTCCCTTTTACACAAAAATAAAACTAAAAGACCCCGAAATCAATCGATGGTTGCCGCGATGCCGCGCTCCGCCGCGAGGGTGCGACAACATGGACCTTAATGTTTGATACTAACATGTTTTGTATTTGTTATCTTGTTCACTTTTAATATTTTGCTTGTTAAATGGTTAATTTAAATTTATGTTGTATAACACTTGTTACAACAAATACTTGACACTCTCATAGCCCATACTATATGGTATAACCGACACTTGAGCTATGAAAGGAACTTAATTTATTATTAACATAAGTTATAATCATGAATGTCTGACAAGATTTACAAGTATTAACATTATTCGAATAAGATAACTAATGTAATCGTGTTAACAATTTATAATCTGATTGGAGCCTCCTTTGTGTGTGATTTCCAATTAAATAACAAGAGTTTATACTATAATTATTTGACGTACCATTAGTGAATTCTGTAACCTTGATATTTGTTGTTATCATTGTTTAATCCTTATATTGATTTTCCATCTCAAAATTTTCATCAATTTTTTCTTTTTTCTTCTTCTTCTTCTTCTTCTACTACTACTATTGTTGTTGTTATATTGCTGTTATTTATAATTTATATAATTAACCTCCTTATGGTTTGATCCCAGTCTTGCTAGGTTTTTTATTACTTCAACACTCCTACACTTGGAAAAAGACATCAATCTTTTGGTCATATCAATATACGTCCACCTTTTTTTTTATATAGCCAAATAAAAAATTGTCCATGAGCTTACTTTATAATTACAAAAAATCTACTATGGAAAAACAAAAATGCCTCTTCATCTTAGGCTTAAATGATTTGATTTTAATGGTAATTTTGTCGTTATACTATGCATTTTAATTGTTTATTAATTTTTATATTTGGTCAAATACAAAAAAGAAAAACACCCATTAATGTCAAGTTTAAATTATTTGCTTCCAACAATATTCTGGTTATTTTACTATACAAAATATAAAAAAATTATTTAAACCCATTTTATTTGGAAATAACAAATGATCTTTGTAGAAATACTTAAATACTCTCACTATTAATTTTTTTTAACAAAGAAGCAAGAATATCATTATATTTTCCCAGCATAGAATTTTTTTTAATGTGGAGCTACAATTATTTCTCAAGAGATTTTACCTTTTTTTACACACACATTAAAGCTGCTTAGTATTTTACTATGCATTACACAGTATAATTCATAGTAAAATGTTGAGTTATCTTCTTCTTTTTTTCTGTTTTGCTTTATGTTTCATTGTGTACTGCACAATGCAATTCACAGTAAAACACTGAGTTATCTTTTTATTTATTTTTTATTTTTTATTTATTTATTCATTTTCATTTTTTTGTTTTTTATGCCTTTAACAGTTTTTTTTTTGCTTTTTTCTTTGTGTTTTTCTCTTTAAATTATTATTTTTTAGTTTGTTAATGTTATTTTTTTTAATTTAGTTATCATACTTTTATAACAAGGATCTCGGGTTTCATGGCTTAACCCGATTTGACGAGTTCACACAATTTTTTTTTCTTTCTTTTCTTTTTAATTAATTTTTTTTGTTAGTTTAATTTGTTAATGTTCAATTTCTTTCTATTTAATTATGAGACTTTCATGATACGTATCCTAGGCTTAACATGTTAACCTGGTTTGACGAGTTAACTTGGTTAATTTTGGGTTAACTCGTCATTTTTTTTTCTATTTAGTTATCAAACTTTCATGACGCAAATCACAGGTTTGACAGGTTAACCTGATTTAAAGGGTTAACCCAGTTAAATTATATTTTTTTCATTAGTTTTTTTCTTCATGTTGTTTTTTTTTCTTTTTTTTAGTTAATCTATTTCATTATCACAATTTTATGATACGACTTTGCAGTCAGATCCACATCTAAGGCTCTTAAGTTCGGTGTTGCAACCAAACTCCTTTAAACTTGAGTCATGTATGTTTAATATTATTATTAATATTATAAATATTACTTTTGGGTCAAGTATTACAGGTAGACCCAAGACTCTTGAGTATAATTTTGCATAAATACCTAACACTTTTAGATCTTAGCTTTTTTTTTTTAATATTTTTTATGAAAGAAAAAAATTAACCCGTGACATATGTCTTTTTTTGTTTTTTTCTTTTTAAGCCTTTTACTATGGATTGCACAATGTAGTTCACAATAAAAAGATAACGCTTTTATTTTTTTATCTTTTTTTTTTTCAATTTAGTTTGTAGGTATTAAATTTCTTTCTATTTAGATATCAGATTTTCATGACACGGATCCCAGATTTGATCGGTTAACATAGTTGATCCAGATTTTATTTCTTTTTCTTCATTAGTTTTTTCCTTCATGTATGTTTTTTTTTCTCTTTGCTTTTTCCGTTTTAATTAATCCTTTTTTTTAATTTTGTTCATTAATATTAAATCTTTTGTCAATTTAGTTATCACACTTTCATGACACGACTCTCATGTTTGACGGGTTAGCCTGATTTGGTGGGTAACTGAGTTGATTTAGATTATTTTTTTTCTCATTAGTTTTTTTCTTCTAATTTAATCTTTTAATATTGTATACAGTTCATGGTGAAAAAGCTGATGTTTTTAGTTTTTTTTTTTCTTCTTTTTTCTTTTTATGTCTTTCATAGTGAACTACACAGTGTAATCTACGGTGAAAACGCTTATGTCTTCTTTTTTGTCATTCTAATTATTATTTTTATTTAATTTATTGATATTAAATTTTTTTCTATTTAGTTATCGGCTAATGCCTATAGTTTTTATTTTTTATTTTTTGTTGTTTTTATGTATTTGACTGTGGATTGCATAGTGCAGTCCATAGTGAAAAGGCTTATGCTTTTTGTTTATTTTTTTTAATTAATTTTTTTGTTTAATTTAGTTTGTTGATATTCATTTTTTTCTATTTAGTTATCAAACTTTCATGACATGGATCCCTGATTTGACTAGTTAACCTGGTTTGACAGATTAACCCAGTTAATTCTAGGTTAACAAGTCAATTTTTTTTTTTTTTTAGTTATCAATCTTTCATGACATGAATTCAAGGTTTGACGGGTTAATCTGGTTTTAAGGGTTACTCCAATTAATTTAGATTTATTTTTCTTTTTCTTCATTTGTTTTTTTCTTTATGTTGGTTTTTTCTTTTTTCTTTTATTATTTTTAATTAATCTATTTAATTATCACATTTTATGACACGACCTTGTAACCAGATCTACATCCAAGACTATTGTGTTTGATATTATAGTCAGACTCACTTAACTTTGGGTCATGTAAATTTAATGTTATTATTAATATTATAAACATTAGTCTTAAGTCAGGTATTGCAGCCAAGTCTAAGACTCTTGGGTATAATTTTGTAAAAAAATTTAATATTTTTAGATCTTAACTGTTTTTAATATTTTTTATACAAAAAAATTGACTTGGAGTATCACGCGGGCCATATAACTAGTGTGTGTGTATATATGTATGTGTATGTATGTACATGGATGTATGTATATGTATATGTATGTATGTACATGAAGAAATATTAATCAAGAACATGTTGGCATCAGGACCGTTCCCTTTTCTTTGTGTTTTTTTATTTTTTTTAAAAAAAAACGTTATCTATTTGCTAAGGGGACCGATCGACTTTAAAAGAGAGAAGGGTTAAAAGTGGAAAAAAACAAAAAACAAAAAAAAAAAAAAACAGGTGACCAGGCACGTGGATCACATGTCTTGAATGGGACACATGTTTGTTGCTCGTAATCCGGTCCATTAAAATATTATCATGACCGTAACCATTGACAGCACAAACTAGAAAACAAGAAAATAAAAAAAATAAATCATTAAACTGTTTTAACTCTTTCCAACAAAATAAATCAATAAATCAAATAATATTTTATCAACAAAATAATATTTTATTACACGTATTTGTTTCAATGGCTAAAAAGAAAACATTTTTCATTTATTATTTTATTTTTATAATGGTACAACCAAGGTTAAACTAATTTATTTAAAAATAAAAATAAAATAATATTTTATAAATAATTTTTATAAATTAAAAAATTAAAAATCAAATTCCATCTAAATTAACTATTTTACACATCAACCTGAATTTTTAACTATTAATTGCTTCATTTATTTATTTTTCAATATAAATTTACCTAAATCCGGCTTATCCTGCTGAGATAATAAAAAAATTGTGGAAAATAATTTTTTTATGAACTATATTATATATATTTGACCGCATTAGACAAGCAGATCGAGTTGAAAAGAAGGTCTCTAGTCATAAAAAAAGAATGAAAAGAAAAGCTAAAATTAGGCCTTGATCAAAGGCAGTTTAAATCTTTCCAGTTCCTCTAGGAGACGGGTCGCTGATTGCTTATACTTTAATTTTTCTACGTGAACTCCAACAAGGCAACATCCTCATCCTTTTAAAATTCGATTTTCTATTTCAAATAATTATGATAACAACAACTACCCACTTCTTTAAATATATGACGTTTTTATATTCTTTAACCTTCCATAAGAGAAAGCCCCTGACTTTGCGTAAAATTCAGCTCTCAGCACCCAGCAGGAAACTATAGATAAGCCTATAAAAGCAGTTTCCTCGTGAGCATTTGCTTGTATTTCCCATCCGGGATCTTCAAGAAACAAGCTTTGATAGAAAGTTTGTCTCTTTTTGATTCGTTTGATTTATTTCTTTTACTTAACCTATAAGATTCCACTTTTTATTTAATTTGCATTTAGAATTATATTTCAGGCTGTCTTGTTATTTCAGGAAGGGAGAATAAAACTAAAAACTGGGTCTCTTCTTTTGGCTTGATCCATTGAAGTTTTGAGTGAAAGATTGGATTTTTAGTGAAAAATGAGGGAAAAGCTAGGATTTTTGGTTTGTGTATGGTTTTTGCTATGTGGGTTTTGTTTTGGTAGGTTTGTAGTAGAGAAAAACAGCTTGAAACTAACATCACCTGAGTCATTGAAAGGTGTTTATGAATGTGCGATTGGTAATTTCGGAGTTCCTCAATATGGAGGAACTTTAGTTGGTACTGTGGTTTATCCAAAAGCTAATCAAAAGGCATGCAAAGGGTTTGATGAGGTTGATATCTCTTTCAAATCTAGGCCTGGAGGGTTACCTACTTTTGTGCTTGCTGATCGTGGAGGTTAGCTTCTTAAATTTCACTTCTTTGATTGCTTTTTATGTATAATTTTTATGGCAAGTAATAATTTGTGTAGTGAAGTTCAAAGTTTGTTTGTAGTTTTTAGTAGTATATTTGTTTTGATGATAAATTAATTGTGTGATAATTGTTAAATAGGTTTGATCTTAGTGGTAGTTATGCTATATATGCCATGTTAGAGCAACCGGAATTCTTTTTCTAAAAGTAACTGGAATTTTTTGTGTTGATTTCTAGCACTTTTTGTTTATTATGTTGGAAACTCGTTGGCTGATAGATTCTAATAGTCTTTGTCTAACTTTACCTGGTTATTGAATATGGTTCTGATATTCCACACTTCTCTTCTATTACGTTGTTGATAGAACAATTCAGAAGAAAGCAGCATAATTAAGTTTAGAAAATGGACTTTATGTATATATGAAATTTTGAACCATGCTGGTTCTCTACTTCGTTGTGAAAGTTATACCTTGATTCCGGAACCCAGTATAATTTTATTTCTGGTGGTGATACTTTGGATCATATGCTGTCGTGTGGGGCTGATATTCCCGGGAAAAGTAACTATGGTGTTCTTTGCTCTATGGAAGTGATCATGTTCTTATCATCTGCCTGTAGATGTATCTAAAATGTATATTTTTGCAGATTGTTACTTTACCTTGAAGGCATGGAATGCACAGAACGGTGGAGCAGCAGCTATTCTTGTAGCAGATGACAAGGTTGAACCACTGATTACCATGGACAACCCTGAAGAAGATGATGCAGATGCTGCTTATCTGCAGAACATCACTATCCCCTCAGCACTTATTAGCAAGTCCTTGGGTGACAGTATCAAGAAAGCTCTATCTGATGGAGAGATGGTTAACATGAATCTTGATTGGACAGAGTCTCTTCCACATCCTGATGAACGGGTTGAGTACGAGTTCTGGACAAATAGCAATGATGCGTGCGGGCCAAAATGTGACAGTCAGATTGAGTTTGTCAAGAACTTCAAAGGTGCAGCTCAGATACTCGAGCAGAAGGGTTACACACAGTTCACCCCTCACTACATAACATGGTATTGCCCAGCGGCATTCATTCTGAGCAAACAATGCAAATCCCAGTGCATCAACCATGGGAGGTACTGTGCTCCAGATCCTGAGCAGGATTTTAGCAAAGGGTATGATGGAAAAGATGTTGTAGTACAGAATCTACGCCAAGCTTGCTTTTATAAAGTGGCCAGTGAAAGTAAAAAGCCATGGCTTTGGTGGGACTATGTGACTGATTTTTCAATCCGTTGCCCAATGAAGGACAAGAAATACACCAAAGAGTGTGCAGATCAAGTTATCCAATCCCTTGGTAAGTGATTGGCTATATAATATATGTATTCATGTCCACACTCTGTAGAAAACAACTGCTCTCTACTTGTTGTTTGTCTAGTCAATTTTCCTAAATTTTTTGCATGACGATTTTTTTATAGCTGTTACTACAATGTTCTTGATCTTAAGTTACCTATCATTTTCTTTTGGACGAAATGTTTGTCTGATTCTTCTGTTCAGAATAAGGCTTAGTTAATCCATTTGCTGCTGAATTGACTTCTGATGTTTATCGAGAGCAGAGGAAAAAAAAAGCAGCTTCTGAAAATGGTTGTTTTGCAAGCGTAGGTGTTGATCTTAAGAAGATAGATAAATGCATAGGAGACCCTGAGGCAGATGTGGATAATGAAGTTCTTAAAGCTGAACAAGATACACAGGTTAGGTCCACCAAAATTTAATTGCTCCAAACTGATGTGCTGTCCGTTCCTTTAATGTTCTATTCTTTGGGCAATCAGCTAACTTTCTTTTTTTGGTTTTTGAATTATCTATTCAGATCGGAAAAGGGTCTCGAGGAGACGTGACTATACTTCCAACTCTTGTAGTAAACAACAGGCAATATAGAGGTTTGAATTCAACATTCTTACTCTGATGTTCGGCTTTCTAATTGCTTGATAGTCATTTCCAATCTGTACTTGTTACTGTTTTCAGGTAAGTTGGATAAAGGAGCTGTTCTTAAGGCGATATGTGCGGGTTTTGAAGAGACCACGGAGCCATCCATATGCTTAAGTGAAGGTTATCTATCAGGCTTAATTTTAGTACATTATGTTTCATAACTGCTGGCAGTTACCCATCTGTTCCTGTGCTGGTGTGCTAGTTACTGTGCAGAAAATGTTCAAATTGTTTACCGACACAATGAAAGAGCACATTGCTGCAGTATTGGTTTTTTGGTGAAATGATGGAAGCAATTCCTTTTGAGTAGCAGAATTTATCATGATTAACTATACTCATATTTTCACTGCTGTTTTTTTGATAGACTGTTGTGAGAGGGAAGTCATTATTTGCTAGTTTTCTTTACAGATGTAGAAACCAACGAGTGTCTAGAAAACAATGGTGGGTGCTGGCAGGACAAGGCTACTAACCTTACTGCATGCAAGGTGTCTTCAGAATTTCAACATTTTGTTGGTATTGTGTTTTTGGTGCATTCTTTCATTCTAAGTTTATTTTGGTCCTGGAATTTCATTGTTATAGGATACTTTTCGGGGTAGAGTATGTGAATGTCCTGTGGTTCAGGGGGTGAAGTTTGTTGGTGATGGTTATACTCGCTGTGAAGGTAAATTTTTTTCATGTAATCCTAAGTTTAGTTTTGACTCAAGTTTAGAAACATCTCTGTTTTAATTCTGTGAACATAATTTTTTTGCTTCTTGTTCAACAGCTTCAGGTTCTTTACGTTGTGAAATTAACAATGGAGGATGCTGGAAGAGAACTCAAGATGGCAGGACCTTTTCTGCTTGTGTTGTGAGTCTTGAATTTGATGGGAACTATCCAGCTTGCTGTTTTCTTGCTCACATACTTAATTTAATTGTTTCTAATGTGACTTATTCATTGGTTCTCGGATGGGTTTCAGGAAGATCATTCTCAAGGTTGCAAGTGTCCTCCAGGATTCAAGGGTGATGGAGTAAATTCCTGTGAAGGTACTCTTCCTGCTTTTCTTTGTTATTGTTCCAACATCATACTATTTAGTGGAATGCAGTTTTGCGCGCTCAACTGGGTTATTCGTAATAGCTCCTTGAACTACTATTATTATTTTAAGTTCCAGATGAAGAATTTTCCTCAGTGAAGATTATGCAAGTTTTCATCGGTAAAATATTAGATGAACAAGTTCAAGATTCTGTATTCCAGTTTTATGAAAACACGTTTGATGTAACATGCATGCAGTTTCTTCCAGTCCAACATGTTTGTGGATCCCATTCATTGAACCTTGTCATCAATAAATAACTCAACAGCTTTGGTTTCTTCTTAGATGATTTGAGGAAATATTTTTCTTTTCTCATTTTAAATTTCCATGCATTTTATCAATAGCACACTGGTTCTTTTCCATCTAGGATATGATTGCACTTGCTTCTTTATAAATTGCAAGCAATATGTCATTTTCTTTTGTTTGTGAGACGAAGTAGATTATGAGGCACTCATCAAACGTTCTCTTTTGGCTGTTTCCCAGATGTGGATGAATGCAAAGACAAGCTGGCCTGCCAGTGTTCAGAATGCAAATGCAAAAATACCTGGGGCAGTTATGACTGCAGTTGCAGTGGTGGTTTATTGTATATGCGAGAACATGACGCGTGCATAAGTGAGTATCCTCTGAGGGTTTTGAATAATCTGCTCTGTTAACCAAACAATCAACTTGCAGCTGTGTGTATGCACAGCATGCTTCGAAGTCCTCATTTTGAGTTTTTCAACTGTGGTGCAATTTTTCATTTTAAATTGGATGCTTTGAAGGGTGTCAATTTCTAGCATGATGAACTGTGTGGTGAAATATGTTTTCAGTTTCATCAATTAACATAGAAGCTCAAATCTTAGTGGAACCTATTTCTAAAACTGGTATATACACCTTGTACCTTATGAAGGTATTGCATATCAGTTCTTCTGTTTTAGCCACTGCACATATCTTAAAAGTAATTTCCAAGTTCAACTCAACTCAAGAGCTGGGACTAATTTTGGTTATTGGCTCTACTTCTATACTAAATGGGATCACTAGCATTCCACAATACATTTGCTCCTGTCATGTTAGCCTCCACAGATTTATGTTTTACAATGATTTAGGTAAAGCTGCTGACACAAAGTACAGCTGGAGCTTTGTTTGGATTATTATTCTTGGCCTGGCTGCTGCTGGTGTTGCTGGATATGCAATTTACAAGTACAGAATCCGGGTATGTATCTTAAATTTTGTCATTCCTTATTTTAGCTTTAATGTAGAAAAACACGCATGTGGCACTTGAGGACCATGCCGAAATACATGACATGCCCAAGCATCATTGAGGACCCAAGTTCCTAGTTGATTTAAATGATGGCGCATCATTCAAAGAAAAAACAGATGCTTGCCTAATGAGTATTTTGAGCATGAAAATGCGCACTCAAACAAATATTATGAATTTGGATTTGGTGGTGTTGAGGTACATCTGAAATTATTGATTAATAGGACTTTTTTTTTTATTTGAACAAAAAAGAAGAAACTTTGGGATTGCTAAATCACCGATGAAATAAAGCAACGGAGCCACCATGGTATTTTGTTTTTCTTAATTCCTTCCAAGGAAAGGGTGGTCATTGTATCATTTACCGACCTAGGCTTGTAGACTCTATTTTTCTTTGGTAAAAGTGAATTCTCTTGGAGAGCCGTATAGTTTTAATGCTAATAACAGTGAACTGAATTTTATCTTTATTAATGTGCACACAGAGATACATGGATTCAGAGATACGGGCTATCATGGCACAGTATATGCCATTGGATAGTCAAGCAGACATCCCTGTTCATCATGCTCCCCGTGGGGACATCTGAAGGTGAGCTAGTGAGATGATGTGCTGAGGCATCGACTAAAGAAGCAGCATCTCTAAATTTCGAAGTGACCTATCAGCTTCGATTTGGCTTGTAGCTATTTCAGCCAGCACGCTCCCATTTAGTCACACTCGTATATGTAAATTAATATTACAAGTTCTGCATGTAATTCCATGGAACGCAGCAAATTTTCAATTCAATGTAAGAGGCGTTATGGGATTCAAAATTTTAGGCCATCTTGGTTGCATTCCAGTTTCATGCTGCCTAGGTTATCAAGGATTTTTCCCTAGTTTCTAAAACTAATTCAAGCTGTCCTAGTTGAGAGTGATCATAAGCCCTGTGAAGGTGGGCATTTTACATTGTATGGCTTGGATCTTAATAATATCTGTTTTTAGATCAATTGCTCTCCAGAATGTTCAAGGTAGCTAAGAAACTGTTTCGTCTTAGCGTATATTATATACGCCCACGCCCGAATGAAGTAGATTGCACTTGCATACGCTATTAGCTTTATTAGCTACCAATGATTTTAACTGTACACCGGTAACTACAGAACAGTGTCTTCCTACTGTCTAGAAATTATTATATCACTAACTTCTGCGAGGTCCTACCAGGCAAATGATAACAACACTAAAATAGCGTATTGGAGGGAGAAAACAACACGACATATCCGCCAATATAACTAAACAACACGAAATGAACAAATATCAATATAACCCTGTGGCATTGGAGGGAGAAAACACCGGTAATTTCAGCACAGTAAGGGGGAAATATCCGCCAGATTATTGAAACTTTCTCCCATAGCCTAGCAACCCAAACTAAAAGTAGACAAAAAGCCGTAATCAGTAACCCAACACTCCAGAATCAAGCAATGTTTTCTGGGATCCCATCTTTTTTCTTCCAGAGCTTGTAATGTCGTAAACCTTCCACCTGCAGGTCACAGGAGAAGTTAATTTGATCAGCTACAATACAGAACAATGGAAGACCAACTTGGCAGCGAACTTATCATTCTAGGCATAGGTTAACAACAGCAACTTTGAGTATTTTTTTTATTAAAGAAAATGCTGAAAAAGTGGAGATTCATATATGATGAAGTTTGGTATCACGACAACTAATAATATTTGTTCAAGAAAAGGTGAGGGTTGAGAGGGAGGGGAGAAGAACAAGGATAGCATGCAATCCAACTAACCAGTGGAACAAATACATCAATTTTCTGCTCCATGTCCCAAGTCTGACCCCTTACTCTGCTTACCACCCACGGCGATCTTATAGAGATAGAATGCAACCACTGCACCACTGAAAAGCAATGCCAGTTATCAGAAAATCAAATGCACACACAACAAGATAAATACCGCTATAAATAAAATGCTTGACATAGATCCTACAAGCATCTGAAAATGGAGATACTCATGTCCTCTACTGTACTAAGATAAGTCCATGTGGTTTTATGACCAGGAGCAAGGCAAGTATGTGCATGACCATGCGCGCATGCAGCAAGACAGATTACGGATATGCTGCTTTCAGAAGGTGGCTATGACTAATTAAGATGAAGAAATCAAAATATATGACCTTAACAGTATCAGAAAGTATAAACTGAGAGATGCTACAAGTTAAAAACTTGGCTAGACAGAACCATAACCAATAACAGATCTAGCTTGAGTTCATAGGCATGAGATGAGCAATGGTTCCTGGTCTTGGATTGAGACTACTTATGTTATTGGACCAGTGTAAATTGCCCAATGTTATTTTGTAAGACGGTACATTGTGTATCTTAAGCAAAATTGCACTGGATGGCCTAGGATATTATACATGCAGATACCAATTCTTGTTTCATTTGAGATCAAACAAATTTCATCAAAGGCTGCATGATGCAACTCCTGTGCTGCACTCTTAAGAGAATTGAGTGGCAAATCACAGAACATAAGAGAATTGAGTGGCAAATCACAGAACATTTCATCTCAATTTTTAACCTAGAATTTCCTGAACCTTTCAAACCACATCAAAGTTCAAGTGCTCTAGCACCTTGTCTAATTGTTAGTTCAGACTCGAAGAAAATTCTTTTACCAGCGACCCTTCCATCCTAACTACTAAGGTAGAAAAGGAAATATGAGAGCACAAAAAAATTTGGGAACAAGGAACCTGACGAGGGTTGCAACAGGAGTAAAAAATGAAGCTCCCTGCAAAACAAAAAAGTTTAGACTGTTAGAACTTTGAAACATAACAACAAATATGTAATACAGCAGAAAAAACAGGAAAGATGACATGGCTGTTTAAAGAACCCGTACCTGAGTCATCATGATTCTAATGTCCCTAAGAAAGATTATAGCCACTATTGCTGCAGGACCAAACACAATAGTTAAAAACTTTAAGTCAAATATGCAACAGAAGATATGTACAAGAATGGCATGAGTTGTAGAGAATAAAAAAATAAAAACCATGTAAGAAAAAAAATGATCAAGCAATGGCCCGAAATAATAGCTATCCTTTCATCCTGAAGTAGCTCACACACTAATATTATCAGAAAATACTATCAAAATAGTCAGCCTGATGAGTTAGAGCATGGAGGAAAGAATGCCCCAAAGCACTGAACATATGTACTCACAAAACCTAATGGTTAAAATATGCAATAGAAGCAAAAACTTATAGATGAGGAAGAGCTAAGCTAGATACTAAAGCTCTTGTCTACGGTACCTTTTAAATTTTTAACTTAACCCTGGTCTCTCTTTGTTATGAACCTGCAAGTGAATCCAAGCATTTCATCCTTATGCTTTGAGACATTCTACACAAGGTGCATGCTGTTAAATTCATAACTTAACGGTGTCCTTTGTTACATATGATACCATATTCCAAAACTTGTCCAAAATGATCCAACTATATAACTAATAAGAAACAGAAAGCAATTTGAGCTTTTTTCTTTTTATATGTCAATGTTTTATTATAGAATAGAACCACATACTAACCTGCCTGTGCTTTCAAGGCCAAGGAATCTGGCTCTCCTCTTTTGTAAGATTTTAAACTTGATACGCTTAAAGCCAGAAGTGCACCACCAAGAATGACACCAAACCTAATGGAATTGATGCTGCCCGACAGCATGAAGGAGAGAAATCCAGTAGTAGCAAGTAATAAACCTGTGAAACATAGCAATAGCATGAAAAACATTGAAGCCATTTAAAATAGAAAATACACTAAAAGGCAACTGCCCAGTTAAGAGTAACCAGTGGGGGTCGGGAGAGACATTTCAACAAAACCTTTCCCAGCTCATCCATATTCAGTTAGCATTATTAAGGGTCGTATGATAGAATAGAGCAGAAGAGCTTGCAACCGTAAATTGACAGTATATTGCAACATTGTTATATCTATCATGTTGTTACTCCTAACAAATTCTAATTTATGAAAGAAACCTCATTCAACAAAATTTTAACAAAATGAGTTCCAGAGGCGCACTAGTCATACCATATGGTATTCCAACTTGGAAATCGCGGACTTTAGAAATATCATTAAAATCATCGGTTGAAGAAGATAACGTTTCCACAACCTCCTTCACTGGTTCCGGAGAATACTCTGTAGCTGCTACAAGATACTCTATACTATCTTCACCAAGTTCCTTTGCTAGCTCACCCAAATCCTTCTTTGCCTTCACTGCTTGAATCTTTAACTTCTCTGAAGTTTCTTCCAAAAAAACCATGGCTTTCTCTGCGTATATCTCATATGCTTCTTGAGAAACACTTTGCAACCTTAAAGCTTGTTCTTTGAAAGATTCTAGTGCCTGCTTCCATGCTTCCTCTGATTCTTCACGCTCTAATTTTTTATCTTCACTTTCCTTTTCCACTTCAATCTCTGAATGCTCCTAAACATTGCCAACAAAAAATAAGAATAAAACAATAAAAGATGATCCAATTACATCTCATTTCAATTCAAACATTGAAAAGAACCCATTATAACAATCTCTCTTGAAATGAAAATTGCAAAGAGAAACAAAAAGCTTTAAAATTTGGCACAAACAAGATGGCATTGCTCTAAATACAAAACCAAATCAAACCATTAAAACTCGATGTTAATCAAACGGCACAGTTTTCTCATGTTCAACAAAAAGCACTAACACCCAACACATGTTCAACATTCAAAGAAGGGAAACCCAATTGGAAAAACACAAAAATCACCCAAAAAGAATTCAAATTTCAAATTTTCAAACGGTAGAGGAAATTAAAAGAATAGGAATTGCAATTCTTACAGAATCCTCGTGAGAGCCAGCAAATACCACAATTTGTCGGTTCAACGAATTCCCAGAACGAAAACCAACGCCAACACCAAGCCCTTTTGGGACAAAAGCCCTTGGATACTCAAAAGACAACCTGTGACCGCTAGGTTTAAGCAATAGAGATTGAAACTTTAAGGATGGAGCAAACAAAGCCATTGAAGAAGATGAACAAAAAGATGGCCTTTTTGTTAGCAAGGAACTACAGCCAGCAGATAACAACTCCATTGACACACTCATTTTCTTCTTTTACCCTTCTTGTTCAGAGAGAGACAGGGAGAAGTCTAGGTTTTTTAAGCGAGAGTCACGAGGGGAAGAAGAGAAACGAGGGTTTTAGCAGTGGGATACAGTTTTCCTACTTCCTTTGCCTTCGGACTAGGAATCGTGTAATGTCTTGGTTACACGTATTTAGAAATGTTTGCATGAAATTTACTCCAGTCCTTATATTCTTATCAATATTTCACTTCTCCCTTCATGTTCATAGATAAGAGTTTTTTGAGTAGAACAATAGAATTATATATATTATCTTCATATATTAATTTAATTATCTTTCTCCTCCAATTCCAATCATTTTCAAGGAGCAAATGCCTTCTGATGTGTAGTTGTTGAAGCAAGTTTTTATAGAATGATATTAAACAAGATAAAAGATTTTGATAACCATCCACCCATATAGAGTTCTCAAAATATTATATTCATAGTAATTTTTAAAATAATGCAATTTGTTTTCTAGCCTTTAATAATTTGAGTTTCTATTATATGGAGATTCATTTAATTTTTTGTTAATGATAGAGTAGCATTAAAAAAAATTGACATGAATACTAAAACATCGCGATAATAAGTTTTAGAAATTAATTTATTAATACATAAAATTAATTTTTTAGCTATTTTTCAGTCAATTAATTTCATAAAAAATCACAAAAAAGAGAAGAATCAATATATAGATCCTATTTAACGAATAATAAAGGGGTTTTTTTTAACTAATCTTAGACATCCTACAGCTACAAGAAGTTGAATTTCCTATGTGCTCCATAGCATGTGATGGAGGAGGAGTTTATTTGAAGAAGGGAATAATAGAGAGCGCAGGCGGCAAGCAAAGGATTGGATGCAATCGGCATGCCGTTGTTTTTCTTGCCTATTTTACGACCATATTGTTCATGTGAAGACGAAGAACTTTAGCCGTGTGAATTAAAAAACAAAAGATGAAGAAGAAAGAAACAGCATGAAAAGTAGTCTAATCATTTATTTATTTATTATTATTATTATAGATACAATGCTACCTATACCATTATTAGTTGTAAAATCAGAAAATTATACCTAATAGTGTGAAGAATGGCTTTACGGGTGTTTTGAAAGTGTAATAATAATTATTTTTAAAAATATTTTTTATTTAGAAATATATTTAAAAAATATTTTTAATACTAGTATATTAAAATGATGGGAAAACACAGAAAAAAATATTTAATTTTTTAAATGTTTTCAAAAATATATTTAAAATACAAAGATAATAAAGCTTTTACTCCATACGAGCAGTTCTCGTAGAGTCTAGATTGGAAGGCAACGTATGTTTTCAAACGTTATTGTGTAAACAGGTAGCGATGCCATGGTGGGTCAAGATTTGTTGGGCATTGCACTGGCCCAGGATATAGAATTGATAAATCATGAGCTTCAAATGTCCAGAAATATTGGGCCCTGATGGGCCATGTTTTTGCTGTTTTATGGGCTTCTGCTGAGTTCATGGATATGCCCTCTCTGCCTCTCCAGGACACGTCAATAGAAGTATAGAACTATGAAAGTGCTTGGGCCACTTCAAGATTTTTCCAAAAAATTGGTTGCCAAGTGACTGTAATTGTTGTAGGAAAAGCTTTTCAATCATGGAGGGCAAGCCGTATCCTATTTGATAAACAATTATAATTATTGGAATTAAATAACTAAAAGTCACCATTGGTTACCAACTGATTTTTTTTTCTTTTTTCTTTTATTTTTTAATATCATATTAATTTAAGATTAAACTTGATAATTTGTTCTAGTTGGCTTGGTATAAGATCCTCACAATGTAGAAAACATATTTAATCACGATTTGAAAATCAAATTTATTTTGTTGATTTTTTTCCAATAAAATCCTTTTGTAGCTAATTTAATGAGTAATCATAATTTGATTAAAAAATATTTTTCAATGGAGTTTAAATTATTTATTTTTTAACAAAAAAATTATTATTATATAATTAAATAAAAAAAATAGAAGAGCTCTCATTAAAAATATACACTTTATCCCAGCTTCTCAACTCAATTTTTTGTTGGAATCATCAGATTTATTATAATCTATTCACATATATAATTTTTAATTTATTTTAATAGATGCATGTATAAATTTTCTAGTTTGTAGTTAATTTTTTTTTTAATTGTAGAAATAATGTTGCAACACCTAAACCTTTTTTTAATTGAGAGAAAAATTGCTCCATCTCACAACATAAACATGTAACCAAATTGATATTTTTTAAAAGATAAAAGTATTATGATACTTTAAATTGGTGTTAATACATCCAATTTAACTTAATGGATTAACTTAATAATTTATCAACTTGGTTTTTATATCGTATTGGATGATAATGCCTGATGGATCCAATCAGAATTCAAGTAAGACTTGGTTTGAGTTTTTTTTCTTTAAAGTTATATTTTAATTTTTTTTAAAAATTATTATTTAAATCGTTTAACCTATAAACTAGATTCGAAATCTAGTCATGGCCATGTTAGAGTTTATAACTCCAGGTTAAATTCCACAGACGGTAGATATTAGATCTTTCAAACAATTGGGGTGTTAATCATGACAAGCTAGTAGACGAAGCAAAGGATGATGTTCTTTTATTACTTGTGATCTAAGGGTTGAAGATGGACATCATGTTACAACTCGATCGAAACATGAACTGCATGCCACAACATTGCCAGTATAGACTTTCATCAAAAAGGCCATGGATTCCTTTACAAGGGCAATCGATGGGGACAGCAAGAACTACACAAGTCATAATGTGGATTTACCAAAGATTTTAGATCTATTTGTAGATACTATTAGCATGATAGCCCGCCATCTACGCCACCCGTCCACCGTCCATGGCAGCTCCACGAGAAGCACAATTAAAGCACAAATTTTCTAAGCATAAAAAAGTACATCGGGAGGAGGGTTTGAAGTGTGGAATCCGGAGGGACTCATGGAGTTTACAAAAGGGATCTCAAATCTCTCATATTTCTCCTTGTGAAAAGGCCAATCAATTATTTAATAAATTGAATTTTAATGTCATTTATATGAAGAATATACTAGAACAAATGGTAATTCGTGTGTGTGTGTGTATACAAAAATTTGTTAGCAGGTGACTGTAATTGTTGTTGTTGTAGCTAGGGAGAGTTTTTAAATCATGTAGTGCAAATCGTATCCCATTTTGATAGACAACTATAATTATTGGAATCAAATAACTAATTAATCACCAATGGCAAACCGCAACATCATTTAATTAAAAACACCAAGAAAAATGAAGTACCTCCAAAATTGCTCTAAAATTATAGAAAGTGGGCAAGTAGATATTTTTATTATTATTATTGATGTAATTAAAAAAAATTGGGATGGAAAAACTAAAGAGTGAACTACCTCAAGGTCTTTTTTTATTTGTTCTTTCATAACTTGATTTTTTTACAATTATTTTATATTAGGTTGATTTAAGATTGGACTTGGTTATTTATTTATGTTGGCTTGTTATAGCTTTCTCATTGTGTCAAAAAATAAATCGGATTGTTGATAAATGCTTAATTTGACAAATTCAAATTTGTTTATTTTTTTTATGATTGAATCTTTTCATGTTATTTTTTTGTTATTTGATTGTTTTTGATCACTTGAATTTTTTTTTTCAATTCTATCAACATTAAATTGATTTGAGATTAAACTTGATAATTTATTTTAGTTGACTTGGGGATTTTCATTATGTCAGAAAACAAATTCAGTACTCAATTAATACTCAATTTGAGATAATCAAATTTAGTTTTTTTTTTATTCTTTTCGGATTAAATCATTTTATTGTCAATTTAATGAGTAATTGATGAAGTTTTCAATAAATAAAAAATTAAAAAAGGACCGAAATGAAAAAAAAAAAGCATGGAAATCATATAGCAAGTCTAAAATTAATGTAAAAGGTCATTTTAGTCTTAAAAGTCATTTTGTTGATTTTCCAATTCTTGAGTTGAGAAAAGAGAGAATTTCGATGAAAAACAATGAATGAAAAATAAAGTCGTCAATGAGCTACAATTTAACAATAAACATGATGATTTTGATATAATTCTTTTTGTTTTCTATCAAATCAAGATTCCATGACTCTTTTTTTTCCAACGGAGTTTAAATTATCTTTTTTCTAGTGTTTTTTATTTTTATATAATTAAATAAAAAAGATTTAAAGAGATCATCCAATATGAGATTAGAAAGCTAAATATGGATTTTATCTTAGTTTTTTACTTAATTTTTAGTTGGAAACAATAAATTTATTATCATTTATTGATTTATATAATTCTTGATTTATTTTACTGAATATATATATATATATATATATTAATTTGCAATTAAAAAATTTCTTGATGATAAAAATAGTGTTTCCAACGTTCATACCCTTTTTTTATGTTGAGAGAAAAATTTAGTGACTTGTCAACTTGAATTTCAATCAAAATAGATAGAAATGATTCAGTTAGTCCAATCAAAATTCAAGTAAGACTTTATTTGATTTTATTTTTTTAAAAAATATATCATTTAATTTTTTTAAAGAAATCATGAAATAAAATTCTTTCAAGTTGACTAACCCAATTTGTGAACTAGATCTTGAATGGAGCAGGTTGGTTTTTATAACTATGGGTAAAATTCCACCAGCAAGAGATATTAATTATATCTTTAAAACAATTGAGGTGTTAATTATGACAAGCTGGTAGACGAAGCAAAGGATGATGTTCTTTAATTACTTGTGATTTAAGGGTTGAAGATGGAAATCATGTTAGAACTTGATCGAAACATGAACTGCGTGACACGGCACTGCCAGTCTAGACTTTTCGAAAAGGCCATGGATTCGTTGGTATTACACAAGTCATAATTTGGATTTAGCAAAGATTTCAGATTTATTTGTTGGTATTATTAGCATGATAGCCCGCCATCTACGCCACTCATCCACCATCCATGGCAGCTCCCCGAGAAGCACAATTAAAACTAAAGTTTTCTAAGCGTAGAAAGTACATCGATAAGAGGGTTTGAGGTGTGGAAAATGGACAAATAAATGGAGTTTGTAAAAGGGATCTCAATTTTTTTGTTCTACTTGCAAGACTAAGAAGTCAATTGATTATTTAATAGCCTGGTTCGAAATTCCAAATAAAATAATATACGTAGAACTTAGATTAACATGAATTAATCTAAGATTTAATAGATTCAAGATCTATACAAATCCAAGTTAAACAAATAAAAAATACCTTCACATCTCAATTAAAAACTTGATTTGTCATATTAATTTTATCAACTCGAGTCTAATTGAATCAAAATATAATTTTTAATTTGTTAATTTTTTTAAATATTTATTAAAATAATACCATTTAAAAAAATTTAAATGACTCTTAATCAATTTATTGGTTATGTTTTACAACCATGGGTTAAAGTAAGGAGTAAACAGTGAAGTAGGCGTCTTTTCTAAGGGATTTTCTTGGTAAGATGATTGTTGTATTCCTTTTCCCTTGTTTGGTAATTGATATATACCTAGAAAATCTCAAATTCACTAAAACGTGAGATAAATATCATATTTGTGTTAGAAGTCCGAGTTAAATATCAATTCAATTTGTTGTTGACAAGATTTTATCATAATTGTTAGTAAAAATGATATAATTATCTTTAAACTTAAACAAATGTCGTTAAATAAGTACAATAAAGATAATTGTCTGGAACGTCACTAAAACATTTACTTAAAATTATATTTTATTCAAAATACCGGTATAAATAATCTTGGTGAACTCTTGCTCGCCATAGCTACGTGTTTTTCTCATTAAACCCATCATTTCTTGGCGAGTAAAGTCTGCCTCAAGACCTGCCTTTATATTCGAAAACATAACGTGAAAGGCAAGTGTTAATTTGAGTTAACACTCGAAGGGCGAGCTAGACGAGGCTGGTGAAGGTCGGTGGAGAGTAGTACTATCTAAGTGGAGAGAAATGCCAAAAGAAGTAGGTTTTCTGATCGATGTCTTGCAAGGAAATCTTATACGACAACTGGGTTGTTAGAATACGAACAACAGTAGATAAAACATTAAAGAAACAGAGAGGAATTTGGCCACATTCTATTGACCAGACCACACATGGATCTTGGAACACTGCAACTACGATTTGCCCTTTTTCTTGTACTTTGTAGTCTAATCTTGGACAAGATAGTACTGCTGCGTTAACTACGGTATCTTATATTATCATGCCTCCATTGAACAGAGTAAAAAGGAGGTGCCGGTCTCTGTATCTTATATTATCTTGCCTCCATTGAACAGTGTAAAAAGGAGGTGTTCTGTCTACCATTTCTGTTCCTGTTCTCCCTCCATGTTTTCTCAACCTGGGCGTGTAACATCCCTGTTAAAAATCTTAGGTCCCTTCCAGTTTCAGAAAACTTCTTAACATGTTTGCTTTCTCTAACTAATAGTTCTTCTTTTTCTTCCTTCTCCAAATGGCATTTTGTTTCATGAAATATTCAATTAAAATGGTTTTTAATGTATATATATATATATAAAGTGTCCGATTGATAGTGCAAGGAGGTATAGTTGAAATTCTGTCTTATTCCCATGACAGTTTTGAAAGTGTTTGATTGGTCGAAATACATTATATTTTTAAATTTTATTTTAAAATTTTGGTTATGAGCAAATTACAATTATTTTTTTTAAACATATTTTACAAATAATAATCATAAAAACTACTATAATATCAAACACATATAATATTCAAATAAAATAAAATTTATATGATCTGAATATTTTTTTATATATAAAAATTATTAGATATAAAATTATTAAACTATACTAATTATTATTAAAAAATAATATAAATCATATCTGGGAATCCCACCTAATATTTTGAGTTTCTAGGTTGAGATAATTCTTTGATTTGATATCAGAGTCTTAATGACCAAATGATTTCAAATTTGAATCTTATCATTTATATTTTTTTTATAAAAAACTAAATATAAAGTAATGTAGGTCTATACAAGTTTTAAACCCAAAGAGTTTTCACTTAAAAAAATATATTAGAGAATAATATAAATTATATCTTCAAATCTTACCTAATAACTTAAACTTTTAAATTAAAATAATTTTTTAACAATTATAACACTAGTTTGGTGAAAATATTAAATTCAAGACATGGATTCTACACATGAATGATCGTACACGATAAAAGATAGGTCACCCCGTCATTCTTTGGCTTAATTCTATGTTGTTGGATTTCATTTGATTTTATTATGGTGCTTGATTTTTTTGTCCCACGTTAGAGCTACAAGCTCTAAGCAATCAATTACAAGCAATCCGCAAAATGAAAAGCCATCTTGACTAAGATATTTTACGTCATTCGGGGGAAAAAAAACTTTATATGCTAAAACTAATATATAGCAACATAGAATTATATAATAAAATAAATTATATTTGATTCGATTTCTAATTAAATTCGAAGCTATTTGCAATTTCAAACAAGTTAAATGAATGCAGTTGATTTATGATTGTGGTAATGCTAGTCTAAAATCAACTCTTTTTTTCAATAAAATAAAAATAAAATGTTATTCACAATAAATTTCTTTATTTGATATTGGAAAAAAAGGTTGGGGTAGTGGGGTGAATTTCATATCCTTGTCTTCCAATCAGTAACATAAAAAGAATTCTTCATTTTCAAAATAAAAATAAATAAATTTCACTTAATAAATGAAAATTCTAAGTTTAGTCAAGATGTTGTTCGAATTAGACAGCCCGAGAATGAAAGATCCAAGTTTCACACAATAAAAACCCAAAAAAACAAAAAACGGATTTTTTTTTCAAAGTAAAGTTCATAAATTAAATTAAATTCTTTGTTTGTTTAACACTTTACGAAAATAATAACAAGATTAATTAAAATTAATGTAACTCACATGCTTTGTTTTTTTAAAAAAGACTGCATATACGGTGACAATTTTAAAAGTTTATTTGTTTTTATATTTTGAAAATATTTTTTTAAAAAAATTAATTTATTTATTTATTTCAAATTAATATATTTTTAGTGTTTTCAAATTATTTTGATGTTTTAATATTAAAAATAATTTTTAAAAAATAAAAAAATAATCTAATAGTCATTTGACATGCATGTATATAGCTCATACTCTAGTATAAATACACACGTACGTACATGCAAATGTTAAAATACGATAAATCTTGAAAATGAATGAAAATAGTAGGGATATCAATGCCGTTGAGTGCTGTTAAGTATGGATAGAGGGAAGAGTGAATCTTAAGTTAGTTAGTATTATAAGACAGAAATGATAGGTGTTTGTGCTTGCACACACACACACACACAGAGTTTTGTAATGAATTTTTGTTTTTTTAAAATATAAAAATACAACAAAACATGTTTATTTTATTATTGTTATCTTTATTTTTTTATTCTAAAGTGAGATGTTATTTTACGGTGATATATAATATTAATACTTTTCATTTACAAATTAATTTTATTTTTTATATCAGTGTATTAAAATTATAAAAAACACAAAAATAAAATAAAATTGTTTCTTCATTCTGGATACGCTTTTAAAACGCAATTTTGATGACAAGAATAAAACAGAATTAATTTTAATCAATTTCAAAGTTCCTCTGATTATTCCTGAAATCAAAGAAAAAGAAAAGGATAAAATGCCCTGACAATTTTGGCAAGAAATGGACAAAAAATTACAAAGAAAACGGGAGAAGAATCGAAGAATGGCACTGGGTTTCAGACAAGGGATTCTCCTTTGACCATGAAAGCCCCCAAACAAAACATTAAACAAATCAAAGAGAAAAGTAAAAACCCTTCCGCAGTTCCTTGTCTTGGGTTCCTGTTCTTATCGGTTACTCATTTTCTTTGTTTTCAAAAAGAAAGAAGCTTTGAATGCCGTCTGCTGCTGCTGCTGCTTCCACTAGAGCACAGCACACTTTACTCTTTCTTTATTTCTCCTTTCCTTGTTATTAGTTATTACACCCACTAGCATCGACACCAACACCAAAACAGAATCATTACTGTTTCTCTTCTCTTCTTCTGACCCCATCATTAAATGTTCTCGCTGCTCCCTCTCCTTTCTCATCTCAACCTCTTGTGATCAATCCCTTCAAAAATTCTTAAGAAAAATCTCTCTCTCTCCCGCTTCTTTCGCCGCTTTACCGGCTACCCTCCCGCCACGATTCCCTTTCTTTAAAATTTCCCTTTCCCGCCCCCCCCCCCGCCACGATTCCCTTTCTTTAAAATTTCCCACTCCTATTAACTCCTCCATCCCTTCAGCACCTAACGCCCGTTATGACCCACACTTTGTCGAGTTATAGAGGTGGAACTAACTAACTGGCTATAGAAGCCTCATTAATGTGAGGTTTGGTAGTTGGTGTTTCTTTTTTTGGAGATCGAAGGTGGTATTTGTGAGAATTCCCGTATAATCTATACCATCACTACTACTCTACTGATACTATAGTGACTGTCTTTTTTCTTTTTTGAAATTTGAAAAAGTTAGGGAATTGAAAAAAGAAAGTGGGTTTGCATCTGTGGTTTCATTTTATTGCCTTTGCTTCAATTTTAGTCCAAAAATATTGCCACCTACATTCTCATTCTTCGGACTCTCTCTCTCTCTCTCTTGCTTTTCTTTTGTTCGGCCTGGAAATTGCTTTAGGTTCTTCCATTGCAGGGCTTATAGCTTCACCATCCCTAGCTTCTACTTGCTAGAAGTGTATGTTTTCGGAGACAGAAACTTTCTGCTCTCTCCCTCCCTCCCTCCCTCTCTCATTTATCTCCAAAGATCAAAAACAAAAAGAGTAAGAACAAAACTTTTTGGTTTCTACTCCACCCCTGCTATTGTCAGTTGTAACCTCCACCTTGTTTTCTGTCTTTTGAGTCACAAGCGTTGTTGCCATCTTTGATAGCCCAAAAAATCTCTCCTTTTCAAGTTTGATAGCCCCTTTTCTCCACCTTTTGCATTCTTTCATGGGGTCCTTTTCTTAGAATCAAATGTATCAAAAGTTGGGATTCAATTAAACTGAGAGAAAAATGCTGCTCAAGTTCTTATGTTTAGCTGTTTTGGCTCCGCTACTTCTGGTACAGTGTTTGGACTCAATCAATGATGATGTACTTGGCTTGATAGTATTCAAGGCGGGTCTTCAAGACCCAGAGTCTAAACTCTCATCATGGAATGAAGATGATGACAGTCCTTGTAACTGGGTTGGTGTCAAATGTGACCCGAATACCCATCGGGTCACTGAACTGGTTCTTGATGGCTTCTCTTTATCTGGGCACATTGGTCGTGGCCTTTTGAGGCTACAATTTCTTCAGGTTCTGTCTTTAGCTAATAATAATTTTAATGGGACTATAAACCCTGATCTTCCTAGACTTGGCGGCTTACAAGTTATTGACTTGAGTGAAAATAGTCTATCAGGGTCAATCCCCGATGGGTTTTTCCAGCAATGTGGGTCATTGAGGTCTGTTTCATTTGCTAGGAATGATCTTACAGGGATGATTCCTGGTTCTTTGAGCTTTTGTACGTCGCTTTCAGTTGTTAATTTCTCATCGAATGGCCTTTCTGGTGAATTGCCATCTGGATTATGGTATTTGAGAGGGATACAGTCTCTTGATTTGTCTGATAATTTGTTGGAAGGAGAGATACCTGAAGGAATTGCAAATTTGTATGCTTTGAGAGCCATTAATTTGAGAAGGAATAGGTTCACTGGGCAGCTACCAGTGGATATTGGAGGTTGCCAGGTTTTGAAACTGCTTGATTTTAGCGAGAATGCTTTGTCTGGTGGTCTTCCAGAGTCATTGCAGAGGCTTAGTTCATGTGCTACTGTTAGACTAGGAGGAAATTCATTCACAGGGGAAGTTCCTGGGTGGATTGGACAGTTGACAAGTCTTGAAAGCTTGGATCTTTCTGTCAATAGATTTTCAGGTCGGATTCCAGTTTCAATAGGAAACCTTAACGTGCTGAAGGAATTGAATCTGTCCATGAACCAGCTTGCTGGAGGGTTGCCTGAGTCAATGGAGAATTGTGTTGACCTTTTGGCTATAGATGTTAGCCATAATCGGTTGACAGGTAACCTTCCTTCATGGATTTTCAAGACGGGGTTAAAAAGCGTGTCGCTTTCTGGGAACAAACTTGATGAAAGCATAGAACATCCTTCAGGTGTATCATTGGCAGCTTCTCTTCAAAGTCTTCAGGTCTTGGATCTATCTTCAAATGTCTTCTCTGGAGAAATCCCATCTGACATTGGGGTTTTAAGCAGCCTGCAACTCTTTAATGTGTCAAGGAACCAACTGTTTGGTTCTATTCCACCGAGTGTAGGAGAATTGACAATGATACAAGCTCTGGATTTGAGTGATAATAGGCTAACCGGCAGCATTCCTTCTGAAATTGGAGGAGCAGTCTCCCTCAAGGAACTGAGATTGGAGATGAACTTCCTATCTGGGAAAATTCCTACTCTGATCAAGAAGTGCTCATCGCTAACATCTTTGTGAGTTTTTCCTCGCATGCTTGACTTTTGCTTTAAAAGTTCTCCGTTTGGTTCTTCCCATTTGTTATTTCCTTGTGCTCGCAATACTCTGAGAAAATAACTTTCTGCTTCTACAATTCTGTTAGCAGTCCTTAATAATTTCAACTGAGAGCCATTACATTCAATCATTACAGTGAAAACAGTTGCACTGTCGTATTGTTTTTGAGGGCAGGTTACCCTGGTGGCTGGTTGCTTCAGTTCTTTTTGAAATTGTTTGCATGAAACAACTAGACTGCCATACCTTCTCTTAGTTTAATTATGTGTTTGTTGGTGTTTAGTCTGACCTTTGCAGGCAAAATTTATTGTCATTTTGGTGTAAGATGAAAAACTATCTACGTTTTTTGTGCTGATAGGCTCACCAAATGTCAATCAACATATGACTATCATCTATGCAGCAGAACCTGATCAGTATGATTTTTTGTGTGTTTATTTGTTTGTTTAAGCTGATAATCAGTGGTGTTTGCTATTGCTCAGTGCATTACTATATGGTGCCCATCTTAAATCTGTTATCGGGATTTGATCAAATTGATATAATTTGAAGTTCTCGTTAAACGCTGAAAAAGAATGAGGAAGGGAAAGAATTCAACAAAGAAAAATCTGGACTCTTGAATTGCTGTTGTCTATTGTACCTTCATTTTATAATTTGTAGTTTCAATTTATAAGTCATGGAACCTGCATTGTTCTAACAATTTCTCTCTCTGTTTTTTGACTGGACTGTACAGAATTATATCTGGGAACAACCTTAGTGGTCCAATTCCAGTAGCCATTGCAAACCTAACCAACCTACAATATGTAGATTTATCATTCAACCGCTTCTCTGGAAGCTTACCCAAAGAGCTGGTCAATCTTTCCCACCTCCTGTCCTTTAATATTTCTCATAACAACTTAAAAGGTGACCTCCCACTTGGGGGTTTCTTCAACACTATTTCCCCATCATCTGTCTCTGGTAATCCCTCCTTGTGTGGATCTGTTGTCAACCGATCCTGCCCTTCTGTCCATCAGAAGCCTATTGTTCTGAATCCCAACTCTTCTGGCTCCTCCAATGGCACCTCTTTTAATCTCCATCACAGGAAGATTGCACTCAGCATCTCTGCTCTCATTGCTATTGGCGCAGCTGCTTGCATTACACTCGGTGTGGTAGCTGTTACTCTCCTCAATATCCGTGCAAGATCTTCTATGGCACGCTCGCCTGCTGCTTTCACATTTTCTGGTGGGGAAGATTTCAGCTGTTCCCCAACTAATGATCCAAACTATGGCAAGCTTGTCATGTTTTCTGGCGATGCTGATTTTGTTGCTGGGGCCCAAGCATTACTCAACAAAGACTCAGAACTTGGTCGTGGTGGGTTTGGGGTTGTTTACCGAACAATACTTCGAGATGGGCGTTCAGTTGCTATAAAGAAGCTAACAGTTTCAAGTTTGATCAAGTCCCAAGATGAATTTGAAAGGGAAGTGAAGAAACTTGGAGAGGTTAGGCATCATAATCTTGTCACACTGGAAGGTTATTACTGGACTCCATCCTTGCAACTCCTTATTTATGAATACGCATCCAGTGGAAGTTTGTATAAGCATCTCCATGATGGACCTGATAAGAACTACCTCTCCTGGCGGCATAGATTCAACATAATACTTGGAATGGCTAGAGGTTTGGCCCATTTGCATCACATGAACATAACCCATTACAATTTAAAATCAACCAATATTCTGATAGATGATTCTGGTGAGCCAAAAGTGGGAGACTTTGGCCTGGCGAAGCTGTTGCCCACTTTAGACCGTTGCATCTTAAGCAGCAAAATCCAGAGTGCATTAGGATACATGGCTCCTGAGTTTGCTTGTCGAACGGTGAAGATAACTGAGAAATGTGATGTGTATGGGTTTGGGGTCCTAGTTTTGGAAGTGGTGACAGGGAAGAGGCCAGTGGAATACATGGAGGATGATGTGGTTGTGCTATGTGACATGGTGAGGGGAGCACTGGAGGATGGAAGAGTGGAAGAATGCATTGATGGCAGACTTCGAGGAAATTTTCCAGCAGATGAGGCGATTCCAGTAGTAAAACTTGGTTTGATATGTTCATCTCAAGTGCCATCGAATCGGCCAGACATGGAAGAAGTGGTCAATATTTTAGAGCTGATCCAATGTCCTGCAGGGGGGCAGGAAGAGCTGGAGTGAACGGGACTTGTACTAGAGTTCAAGAAAGAAACCGAAAACATGTTTTCTCCAGTGAAGAAGAATCCGGTTGGTTTGTTCAAAGAAAAAAAAAAGAATATATTGTTCAATTTACCTTCAAAATTCTCCTCGCTATTGAATTTTATTTGTACCCCTTTTTTTTATGACAATGTTATCTACAGTTTCCATGACCGGATTCCTTTTCACCGGAATATAGGGCACTTATAATATTGCATCAATGATATTCCTCCCTAAGGAGTATACTTGACTGGTTACTCATCTTTGTCTTGATAGCATCTTGTATCTGTTTCATATTACATGGACCAAGGTTTCAACAAGAAAATGAAAGCACAGCTGAGGTCAGTAGCAGACAGACTACAAGGGCTTCTGTGGAGTATAGAATTTGAATGGTATGATGCTCTTGGATAAAGCAATCTTTTGCTTTATTCATTCTTCTTAAGCCAGAATTTGCCTTTGCTTTATTTAACCTTTTGCTTTTCTGAGAATTTATTGCACCCTCAAGCGCAGCATGGTCAACAACTTTTTCACTCATTGCAGAGAGTAGCCGTGCTCTCAATTCTGTGAACCAACCGATGCCAATTATTCTACCGATGCACTCCTTCGCACTGTTTGTAATTTATTATCATAAACAACCTCCTCTGTGTCTGCAACTCGGGGAATAATTAACCCTTGGATTTGAAGGATGGTGTTGGACCCCAAGGGGAAACAAATAAAAATGGAAATGGACATCATCATAGCAAATCACATGGGGGTCCTGAAAAGCACCACCATGGCACCTTTTTGAGTGGCAATATTAGTGCATGGCAATCAAGTGGGAACTTTGCATGATATTCATTGGTAATATGCCTTGTGAAGGGGAAAAGGTTTAGCATGCTCTTATGAAATAGTGTGCTCATCATACCTTTTTATTTACATCTTATTACTTACCTGTGGAATGGATGTAAAGTTCTGAGACCAAGCAGTAGAGACAGAGTTCATCAGAGTTTCACAGACAGTAAATTTGCATCGACTATGAATTTAATCAAACCTAGCACGTGTGTTTACTGAAAATATTTTTTTTTAAATAAATTTTAAAAAATTAAATTATTTTTTGATATTTGATAGTATAATAAAAAATAAGTTAAAAATAATTTATTAATATTTTATTTTTTTAAATTTATTAAAATAATAAGGAATAACTCTTACAAATTAAAAAGTTGAATGAGAATAAAAGTAAAAAAATATAATTTTATAAGTTATCTCAAATACAATAAATAATAATCAAAATAATAGAGATCAAATCTAAAAAATTAAAAAAATTAAAAGATGAAGAAATTAAAATAATAATAATACTTAACATTTCATAAATTAAGTAACAATTAAAAGAATGATGATCAAATTTGATAGATAAAAAAATTTAATTAAAAAATAATAAGAAAAAAAATAATTATTATAAGAATGAGAACTAAAGTTAATATAAAAATTAAATTCTAAGAGATGAAATTAAAAAATAAATATTCAAAATAAAATACATATAACAATAAAAAATTTGAAAATTAAATTTGATATAATTAGTAAATAATATAATATTTTTAAATTTTTCACAATTTCTAGAAAATATTTTCCGTCCAAAATAAAAAAATACTTTTCTAAAAACTAAATTAAATTTTTCTTTAATTAAACAGTATTTTTTATTTACTAATTTTTTAAATAATAAATAAATTTAAAAAAATTTAAAAAATAACTTTTTAAAAAACAACCACACCGCAATACTAACTGTTTTGAACTTTGATGCGGGCAGTGGTGCAATCCGTGTTATCAAATTAAAAATATAGAAAAACGACATTTTTTTGTTTGGAAAGGCAAGCAGAGGGGGTTCGAGATAAAACGTGCAAAAAATGCACGCGGCTTAAAGGCCTCTAGTTTTAGCAGAAGGGTGGCCAGCTGCATGATTTGGTGTCCTGCTTGCCATTCTTAAGCTGAAAAATGACTTCGAATCAAAATAGTTGAACGACAGGGAGAAACTTTTGTCCGCGGTGCCAATCAAAAGACGATGTAGAATACAGAGGGATTTTGGACTGATGGAGCTTGATGCGACTCCAGCTCATGGGACCTGGTGATTAGAATAAAGTTAAAGTACAACCATATCTATAACCCATGACAGGAACATACCAAGTATGAGTGGGGAGTTGCATTCTTGGATTGAATGACAGGCACCATTTCTTGTTCCTGCTTTTGGGTCCCAAGCCCCAGCCCCTACCATGCTGGTCCTTCTTCCCCTGGTTGACTTCATGCCTGAAATATGATAATTAAAAGGAGATCATCCTTCATCCTCAACCTGTGTATGTTCATCGACTTCTATGTCGTTTCCCTTTCTGTGCTGGACAAAGACAAGAATTGGGTTTCCCCTTCAATGAAGAAGAACAGAATGTGCAATGGAATATGTTCTCAAGTGCTCGTCAAAGAATGCAGATTGCACAAAAACAAATGTGAGCACTTTACAATTAACAAAAAACAGAAACATTAGATCATAGACGTGTTTCAACAATTCTCTGGACTCTCACTGTTACACGAAACTCAAAATGCCAAAATCGCTCTTGTCAGAAGGATTTACAATCAAAATTTTGTATATCTATTCGTTTTCTTGTTCTCCTCCTTGTACACATCCTGGGAAGGTAGAACTTTCTTCTTTCTCTTCTCCCTGCAAAAATCCTAGTTGTCCCAGTCATTTTCCCATCCATCTTTGTTTGAAGTCCTAGAAGTAAGGCCATTGGCTGACACACTTGCTGAATGGCGTGCAGCTGGTGACTTTATTGCATTCTCCTCATCCCAATTATCATCCCAGACCTTATCCCAGCCTCCAGCTGTTTCGAAATCATTTGCAACACCAGATTCTGGCATAGCCATTTCAAGCTCCTGATAAGCGATTCTGGCCTCTGGTCTCCCCTTCCTACACATGCAGCAAGCTAATGTCCCTCCAAAAACTACCACTGTAATAATCAGGAAGTAAGCACCATTGATGGGGGTAATCAGCTGGTCATAAGAAGGGAGGTTCATGAAAAAGTTTGCTTGAGATTCAAGAGGATCCAAGTGCAGAACACAGTCCCCATTTTTAGCATTTACTATCACCTCTGTGCTTTGACCAACAGTCAAATTGATCTGAAAAGAAAACATTGAAACTCTGCTTTAAAAGAGGCAACAAACACACCCATAAATTGCAATGGATGAAGCCAGTACAATTATTAGATCACCAACATGAAACATCACGCCCCCCCCCCCCCCCCAAGAAATATTTAATCTGTCTGGGGTAGTAGCACGATGTCAACTGAACAAGATTAAATTTTCCAGAACAAGGCAAGAAAAATATCACAACTTGGTTATAAGTTTCTGTCTCTAGTAAATTTAAAGTTTGCCACTGGATCTAAGCCCGTTCTCAATATAACTTCCTTACCTTCCAGCAATTACACGCATTCAAGCTAGCGGAAGCCAAAAACCAGTAACACCTTGTGAGTTCTTGCTGACTTTCGAAACTGCTCTTAAACCATGCCAACGGAATGTTACTGGAAGAAGCTTAATCTAATTTTGTTTTCTCACTCTTTTTTGCTTCCATTGCCTGGCCACAGCTTTTCAATTTTGTTTAAGTATTCCATATCTCATGCCAGTTTTAAGTCGACCATAGAAACAACACGATGAAACAGGAAAACAATACATACCGTTTTAGTTTGGTGTTTTGCTATTTCCACCAAAGAATTGTCAATAGGATTTGGGGCATGCACATCCACTGACAAATTGTGTTCCCCAGAATTTTGTATAAGAACCGTCCACCAATGGGATCCTACAAGGAGAGGGAGAATAGATGATGAACTATATAAAAATAGCAGTACTAAGTACCCCTCTACAGATAACAGCATAACTTTTCTAGGTGAGTTGGAAAATGAGCAACACATAAGTAAATGAAGTTCTTCCACTGCATGTCTTTATGTAATTGCTAGTCACAGGAGAGGTCTAGAAAACAAATGGATGGACAGAAAATTGTAACCAAAAGGGTGCAAAATAGAATGCTATCTGAGCACGGTTCAAACAACCAAAAGCACTAGTTATAGCTTATTGAAAAAAAGTTGACAGATGAACTACTGCATATAATAGCAAAAGCAGCAATAACCTACATGACACTGCAGACAAAATCTCACCGCCTGATAGTTGACAAGAGGAGACTAGTCAGTGACACATATTAACAAGTATATAATGACCGTGGTTAGCGGTCACTGATCCAATTCTGATATTGCAGTCACATATACCATCACCGTCCAGAAATTGTGATATGACCATGCTGAAATGTGTGTTTTAGCTTGTACTGTATGCAAGTATTTCAAGTTCAAGTCCATTTTGTATTTGGACGACCATAAACAAAAATTATGATTTACCAGTTTCCAAGAGAAGAAGACATGATAAATTTAATATCCCTTATGAAGCAGAAACTGCATGACTGCCCATAACAAGCAAAAATGCTGAGGCAAGCCAGCTGTCACACCCGCATCTTGTGGTCTATCAATAGAAGGTTACATTGCCCAACATCAATAAGACAGATGCCTGAGGTTCATAAGAAGGCGAGTTTAAGGACAGAAACAAAAACATCAATCCTCCAGTCTCCACAGAGCAGCCTTCTAGAGTGTAACGATAAGAGAAATGGCAAGAATCTGAATTGCTGAAAATATCTTAACTTTTTAATAATATTTTTAACAGAAAAATTGATTCGTGTACATAGAGAAGTGATTTCTGGCACAAGACATGCCGCAATGACATCCTAAACCAAAGAAATGCTGCTCCCATGCAATGACAGAGGACTAAACCTGCCTGTATGAGAATTGGGGTCTGGACAAGATCACATGCTAAATATGATGCACCCATGCCCAATTTAAATTGGAAGTTGCTAAGGCCAAGAGCAAGATGACAGTAAGCAATAGATTGGGAATTTCTTAGGCACCTCCAAAGAATGCTTGTGATAACACTTGTCCTTCATAAGTTCCAATAACACAGCTATCAATAAGGCATGTGCTCCAATCTCATCTCGATACCAAGACTTGGTGCTTCCACCGACCCCTATTATCCATATGTACTTCTCCTGCTACTCAAATGAAGAGGTCCAAGATTGGAGTTCAAATGAAATATCTAAGACTTCATATTTTCTTTCATTCCTGATAAAACATGGTTAATAGCGACATATTATAAGCCAAACAAGCTGCAGTTGAATAGCCTCAAGGGTTGCAAGTTATAGCATG